GCCACAAACTCACGTTGAAATTGCTCATGATGCTCTACATAAAGCCCTGTCAAAAAATGGAAGTCTGGCAGGCTAGAGTTCGTGAAGAACTGTTCTCAGCTAGGTGTTTTTATTTACCTATCCACCCCTCTCTGCTTGAAGCAATGCGTATTCAGTAGTTGGTTCTGCGTTTTGGTTCCACTTTTCTTTTTTAAGCCACCTCCGTCTACACATTCTTATAGACCTGTCCCAGCTTACTTTGTAATCACGAAAATTCTTGTCGTTTGATAAGCAAACGGGCACCGATCCTTTGAATACATGTATTTTTGAAATTCACCCTTTTTTCTCAGTCTGGTTTAACTCAAAAAGAAGCTTAGCTAGCCTGGCGCTTATACAGATGATACATTTTGAACTTGCAGATATTGTAACCTGTGCCCACCCTCGAGTGTTGGCGGCGGCGGTTGTGGGTTTTTCGTTCTTTCTGGGTGTATGCATGACTATTTACTGTCTTGGGTATACAGTCAATGCAGAACCCTCAAACACATGGTTTGTTTTTCGTTTGCAATCACTACCATTATGGAATTATTTTATTACCGTAATGCATATGAGCATTTACCTCTAAAAATGTCCGTATAATCACTGATACCAGTTAAGTTTGATCTTTGTCCTTCCATGATCAGCTTGAAGTTTTTTCAAGCTGAAATATCTAACAGTGATGTAGTTTGCGACGTGGTGTGCTTTTTTCGTAATTAACAAAATTGACTGCAACTTTAGACTCTATGGTGTAACCGTACCTGCCAACTTGCTGCTAACTAGTTTTTGTTATGTAATAAGTAAGAGTTGTGGTTGCGTGGTTCTCACGCTATAATAAAGCTTTTGTATTCTCGTTATGCTTTGGGTCCTCTCGGCGCTTTTAGTCCTATACTAGGTTCTATCATATTTTCTGAGTCGGCGTCTAGTGTTTCTTGTCCTTATTTTTCGCCGTTAACTGAATAAGCCCCGTATTTTTACTCACTAATTATAGATGCATGTGCCGGTTCGGCCGCCGATTCCGGTGATATCTATAATGTGCTTCGCAGCATAGTAGGCCCAAGGTCGGTGACTTGTGCGTCAATTAGTT